GAAGAATTCCCCTACGTTTCCATGGCATACAAATAAATTTTACATGATTTTACATGATTATTAATCTAGGTTCAATTGTGGGAGATGATGATGTTATACATTTATCACAAGATCATTCATGATCATATCCCTGCTAACATTGTACATTATCAAATACATAGATGTGTGACGTCATACTATGGTGATATGCATTTTGTGAATGTCATACCAGTACATGCTATACCTGACTACTTTCAGAATTTACAATGCCAGGTTAGCCGCCACGATAATAGAAATATTAAATCACACATTTACTGGGCACAGCAATTGATATAATTACAATATGTCAAGATGTCACTCTCTTTGATTCAGATATACTACTAATCCATAACGTTACTCCTATCAACGCACCCAGTAATATCAGGTGATAACACTAATAGTGTAGTCAGAATGCATATAATGTGTCTTTCACAGGTCCGAATCCATCAACATGCAATGATCTTTGGCGAATGGTCTGGCAAGTTGAGTGTGCAACAATAGTAATGACAACGCAACTTGTAGAACATGGCAAGGTGATATGTTTTGTGTGGTTCATAATCCTTTCTTCGCACAATTTGTCTTATTTCGTGTTTTTTGTAGCATAATGTGTGCGTACTCTTCGTCGAATTCTGTTATGTTCTTGGATAGAACAGATTAGATTTAGAGAACGTCACCAAAAGAATTAAACAAACAAATTCACAAATCATTCAAATCAGAGCTTTCTAGTTGTTTCAGTATTAAATGACTATTATTTTATTATACACCATGTTTTTTATCCAATCAATTACCTGCAAGAATTTTATTAAAATTGACACTCAATGTCAACAGCTTCTCTTTAATGCAGGTAGAAATTATTGCCTTACCCAATTTGGAATTATTAGTGAAATTGCAATACGGCCAAGTACATGACGAATGCATTTTATATTTAGGTGAAATGCCACAAATACTGGCCTGATATAAACGATGGTGCAACTGTGTATGGTAATATCCAAATACAAAATATAAAGGAAGACAAATATGCAGACTGCGTGTTGAGACGATTTCAAGTAAGAGAGGTGAGATACGACTTTATAAATGATACGTAATATTGACTTGTAAACATTACTCAATACGTACAGATTTACTAACGTGAAATACATTGTGAATAGATTATATATTGTTATGCATTGTTATATGACAGTTATAGTAATGTTCCCTATGCTAATAGATTGCTGATTGAATGTTTTTTTCGCGTTTACTTAGAACTCACTTACGTCCTGGAAATTGTCGAGCAAAACAAATCATATTGTTATACAAAACAATTAAAATTTCATTGACAATTGAAAACATATGATCAAGTAACACTACATAAATTCAGACAATCGCTGAATATATTATTATATATTATATATATTTATTCATAAATTTAAATATAACAGGTTGGGGGAGAGGTTAGACGTGAGGTGAAGCAATTTAATTTTCTTCTGTGGCCCGACATGGGTGTACCTAAATACCCATCTCAAGTACTGTCATTTCTAAGACGCGTCAATGCTCACAACCCACCCAACGCAGGCCCAATTGTAGCACATTGTAGGTAGGTCAGTTTACTTTGTTTGTAATTAATAAGTCACATCGGTATAACACATTTAGTAATTCGTAAATGTATTTGATGTCTTTAAATAAGTTGTGTTGTTTTAGTGCTGGAATTGGTAGAACAGGAACATTCATTACTTTAGACGCCATGTTGAAAATGGCGAAGGAAGAAGGCACGATCGACATCTTTAAATATGTGATGTCGGCAAGGAGAAACAGAATGAACTTTGTACAGACTTTTGTAAGTATATATATTAGTGCTTGCGAGACTGTTTCTTAATCTACAACTGTAGATACCCCCTGAATACTCCATAATGACAAAGACATTCAATATTACCAATAGACCATATGACAAAAAGTAATATAAAAAGATCAATGGTTTCAGATTTCAGATGAATTTGCCATTTTAGTGTTTTGCTCAAGTGAAAATTGTCATTTAGATTTTTAGGTTTGTTATTGTGGATGATTTTTTTTTTCAGAAATTTTAGACACATGTGTATCCAGTCACCCGACACGCTCTCCACTGTATAGGATTATGTCTTGAATAATTACTACTGGTGATTTTGTTTTTATGCTTGACCAAACGTCCAGTCTAACCACGTGCAACAATCATTTCTCTACTTCTGGTGGATGGAATGCGTGTTGTTATATATCACATGACATATTTATAGAAAGAAAGTTATTTGTTTTTTTATTTAGAATCAGTATGAATTCATTTATACGGCACTGTTAGAAGCTACATTGGTTGGGAACACAGAAATACCTTCTACAGAATATAGAAGCGTTTTGAAAAACCTAAAATGCCCCGATGAATATGGACAGAAGGTTAAATTAGTAAAAGAATTCGATGTAAGTTGCGTCGTTAACATGTCAGCTATATCATCACATACAGTGATTACAAGCTGCTAATCATATGGTGCACCAAGTTTCAATACATAAAGTAGTTACGTATTTAACAAATTTCTTGTTTTTCAAAAATTGACTTTTCAGAATTTGAATCGATTTTGTATTGCCCCGACTGACATTGAATGTAAAGCTGGATTGGACCCGAGAAACCAGTTAAAGAACAGATATCCAGATATTGTACCAAGTAGGCCACATATATATTTATATACATATTTACAACATGCATTCATTGATAACTAAAAACACAAACTTCAAAACTTATTTTTGATATTTCTACTTAATTTCATCATTCCCCAGTCGACATGCAAATACCACGGTTGATAACGCCACTCAACGAAGATGATTCTTCAAACTACATCAACGCATCGTTCTTTACGGTATGTTGTTCGTGAATGCTCTTCCTATTCATACAGATATTCGTATTACCAACAAAAAAAATCAATTTTCCATTCGAGTAAAGAAGGGTAAATAGTCGGTATGGTAACGTGGATATAAATATTAATAATCACTACACATGATATATTATTGCTATTGTTTATTTCCATAGGCATACACGCGTAATGATGCATTGATAGTCACTCAAATGCCACTACATAACACAATTACAGACTTTTGGAGATTGATCTACGATTGGAAATCAAACACTATTGTAATGTTAAATGACATGGACAAAGACTTGGTAGG